AGGAGGAGTGTATAGAGTGAGGACTTGTCTATGATGTAGCTGAAGACTGCAGCTGAAGTAGTTGCAGCTCAAGCTTGATCCTTCTTACATAGGAGGTGGTGGGTAGAGAAGGTGGGTAGATTCCAGCTCAGGTGGAAAAGGGCCATGCTTCCTACAGGGGTGGAGTTCAACATGGACACTCTTCTGGGTGAACACTCAACTGCTCAACTACTAGAAGCTGTTTGCATTGGAAGGAGAGTGCTCAAGGTTTGTCCCCAGTTACATTTGAGTCAGCAGGGGCAGACTTCCAGCTTCAGCAGTAAAAAGAGGCCTTATAAGTCACATCATAGGAGAAGACGATGAAAGTCAAACCACCCCTTCATTATTTAGAGAAAACATTTTAGTATACTTGCTCCCTTCTTCCCCTGCATGCTTTTTTGTCTTAGTGACTTAAAAAGAGAAAGAAGCTATTTTTAGCAGAGTGCTTGTTATGTGTACTGTTGACTCTTTAACCTGAAAGCTTAATTTAGGGTTTAGGACAAAAAGTGTGTTATTGATCAAAAAGTGTGTTCAAAGATGTAAACCTTTAAGTATATTTGGTGTTCTCTTAACCCTGTAATACTGTTCAAGATAAAAGATAGATGTTACTAATATTTCTAAATATAATAAATATGAGTATTTCTGCTGTTTGGCTGAGAAATTAAACAGCAGCTGGAAATGTCTGTTTTAAGTGTTGGATATTAGCAGATAGGCAGACCTACACTGCTGTTCAAAAGCACTGGAATAGTAAGTGGCAAAATTTTTACTTTGTCTGTTCAAATGCATTTTAAATTACAGATGTTTTGTCTTAAAACTTAGTCTGGAAGTACTATTTCAGCATCTCAAGTATTCTCAAGAGTGGTGTTAGCAAAAAGCAAGGCATCTTGTTGCAGAGGTGGCTCCGAGACAGAACCTCTCATGATGAGATGTGCTAATGTCTGAGGCTGCCACTGCTCATGGCTTCAAGGAAGTCAAGTTTTCCATTTCAAGCCCAGTAGGTGGCATCAAAAGAGTTCTCTAAAATTCAGCGTTAGGTTTATGCCCTAGCCCTAGGCGACAAAATGAACACAGTGTTTAGATGGAGAAAATTCCAGGTAATCTGCCTCTTCCTCTCAAAAAGCTTTGGTTTGAACGTGATCTGACCCAAATGACATGCCTGTGGTGCTTCTGTGCCTAGCACAGAATATCATATGTTATTAAGTGCATTGTAGTTGCCTTCAGTGAACCAAAATGATTTGTAACTACATTTTTATTGCATTCATAACAGAAGTAATATTGCCAATTTTGGGGTTTTTTCAGTGTTGCGATACTATAGGAATCTGCATGAGTACTGTAGCAGGTATGAAGAATGTAAAACACACTTTGTATCCTCAAGGAGTAGATGTGGGCTTTTTTTAAATTAAAACAATTTATCTGTCACAGTACACTAACAGAACTTGGTTATGTCTAGAAAATAGACATTTTCTAGTGTAGCTGCAGTCAAACCCATGATCTTCTCAGAACCTATTGCCAAGGCTGAAGGATGTTTTTGTGCTAGTGGGAGTTTGGAAGTGCAGTCATACCACTTCCCTCTGTCTTTCTGTCTGTGATCTTAAAAAAAAATGACTTAGACACTTCATGGTAAACCAGAGCACAATGGGATTTCCTCTTAGGGGTGAGGAGGAGAGGGGAGGCACTGGGAGCTCCCTTCCCCTTTCTCCTTGGCCATCGTTCAGGCAAGTTCACTGGCTGGTCCCAGCGGTGCAGCAGGGCAGGAAGCAGAGCTGTCTGCCACTGGAGTCTTTTTTGCATTGCCACTACATGGGCAGAGCCCGTGGTAGCTAGTGATAGCAGCTACTGCCGTCAGGCTGGCATTGCAGGGCTTAGTTCAGGGCAAGGGTCGGTGCTAGGAATGCTGTGGGCTCAGTTAATCCATGCCAGTGTGGAACAAATGAGTCTCTAGAAGGAATTAAAGCAAAATAGCTGTTGGTCTTGAAAGTTGTACCCAGCCTTACAGTTCCTTCCCACAGGCAGCCTAAGCTTGCAAACTTCTTGTAGTTTTTGAGGCAGTAGTTTTGAGCCGATTGCTGTGGTTCCTGTTCTTTGACAGGAGATCAAATGTGTTGTGAAAAAGAAGAGGCAAGTTGTTGGTGTGGTATGAGAAGGAAGAGCACACAATATCTGCCCGATAGTTGAGGATCGAATAAGGAAACTTGGAGGAAAGTCCTAGTTCAGCCTGAGACAGCCTGCTCCGCAGAACAGGCAGGGGCAGGTCCACAATGCTGGTCCCAGCTGGATGGTTCGTTGTCTCCCAGTAGGCAGTGGTTCTGCTCCACTTGCTGGATAAACCTGCCTCTTAGCCAGCATAAATATGGGAAAGGAGGTAATTTAGCTCCCTCCTGTTGAAGAAAGAAAATGGAATTAGAGTTCAACTTTGGGGAAAAAGAAAAAGTTATGCTCCTTGTTCTCCTTTTTACTGTAGCTTCAAAGGGATTATATAATTATATGAAAACAAATAAAAAAGTCTTGTCTGCTCCTTCTGAACTGTTTCTTCCATCCTTAACCTTCAAAAGGAAACAAAAAGTCCAGGAAAAACAAATTCCAGTCATCACAATTTTGAAGGCACAGAACATTTGAGGTCAATAGAACCTTCAGAAACCTGGTTCCTGAGATGTTTGGACAGAAACAGTTACAAAACAAATTCTTACAACAGCTCCAGGGGCAGAGCAGCTCCAGCTCAGGGAGGGCACAAGCTACCGGCTTAAGAATGACATACGGTGTGTGACTCCTGGGTATAGTCACTCTAATTATCCTCTTGCTATGGATGAGGACATAGAGGCAAGTGACCTCTTCAAGGCCACTCAGTAAAGCAGAGCTGCCGAATCAAGATGGAAGCAGCAGCTTCAGAAACTGAATTATAGTTCTTTTGGGACCATCTTTAATCTATTGCACATAAGGTCTTGGTGCCTATCCTTCCCATGAGCTTAAGCGGTAGTGGAAAGGAGGGTGTGGAGAGCTTTTCCCTTTCCCGGTATCTTTGAGTAAGACCCAGAACAACAACAAAACAGACCGAAGAGAGTGTGGAACTGTGAAAAATGAATGAAAACAGGGAGTGTAGGCTAATAATCCCATTAAATAATGGCACATGATTATGGAGCACTGTCATAAGTCAATACTGTCACAATATGCGATCGGTGCCTAGAGCTCTGAAGGCTCTGAATCAAAGCTTCTATGCATGGCCTCACATTTTTCTCCTCTATAGCAAAGGCTGCCTTAATTGTTTGATTAATGAACTCATTAAATCCCAGTATTACTAGAAAAAGTATATTGACCTCCTGACCAATCACAATTAAAATGTAAATGCCACTTATTCAAGACACTGGTTAACCATCTATTTAAGCAGCAGAAGAGCATAAAAAACAGCTTTGTATTTCAGGGATGTGGCCCACTTCACCCACAAGATCTGGATGTTAAGAGAATGTCACAACAATTGCAGGTAGAGACCAGCTTGCAGAATTACCTACAATTACAGCAGCATTTTCCTGGTTATTAAGATTATAACCAGTCTGAAAACACAATCCTTCATTGAATCAACAGCAAGAGACTCTGGCTGACTTCACTGGAGTTATGACTTCCCTGCATCGCCACTAAGCACAACAGTGAGGAAACTTAATTAAATTCTGCACATGTACCAAGCACAGCTCAAAGTTACACATCCCTGAGTAGTGCTGTGGAGAAAAACGCAGGGAGTTTTGGTCCTAGGCTGCAATGCCTGCACTGTCTTCTGTGGGTCAGGCGAGAGTTTTCTGGTTCTCTCACTGCTGCATCGTGTCCCTGCAAGGTAAGATGTTGACACAGTCTCACTTCTGTAAAAAGGCCACCCTTGATTTGTTGGAAAGTACATTACTGTACAATGATGGCATAGTTCAGCTATAGTCGTGTTGCTCAATACACAGCTATAAAGATATTTCAGTGTCCCAGCTCATGATTTTTGAGTGGCTGGTGTCATTATGGCAGACCCTCTGTTTGGAACCTTGAACAAACACTGTTGGCATGTGTCACTGAAGCTTTTATGTCCAGTAGGAACTGTAGCTCCCCAGATTAGATGAGCTGAGTTAGGAGGACAGAGTGTACTCCTGTAAGCCAAAATGCAAGTTGACGTATCTGAAGGCATTTTAGCTAGCTGTATTCACCCTGTTTTCTGCAGCAGGCCAGAATATCCATGTTCTGGACTTTCAGTGAAGGTTGTAGGAAACGGTGGCATCTTTGAACTGCCAGGTCAAACCATGTCGAAGTCTGAATGAGGTTTGGTGTTCAAGGTTCTTGCAGTCACTTCAGACTGCTGGTCACTGTTACAGTAGGGAAAGGTTTAATCATTGCTTGTGCTATTGTGTGGGCTACTGTAGTTTGCCTCCAGCTCTGCAGAACTGAAGGAAACCTGGAGGTATCCCCCACCAGTCCAAGTCTCATGATTTGTCCCCCTTTCACCTCTCACCCAGGGCTGAAGTCCTTGGGGTCTAAATGGCTTTCAGCTTCCTAAAGCTCGATGTGGTTCACCAGCTTGACAGTTGTCCCTACCTGAATGGCTGCTGTCTCCTTTACCATAGGACCTCAGCAGCCGAGGCGTTTGACCAGGTAATTCTCAAAGATCTGCCTGGTGTTCTCAGTCCAGGCACAGCAACCCTAGAGGACACAGTCCCATCTTAGACATCAGGATGTACTATACAAATTGGATGGCATGGGCTTTTAGAATAGATTTAAATTAATAAAGTGTGCCAATGATTTCACAAGGAAACTGCTCAGAAGATTTCCTCCTTCACCTATGAGAAGGATTATGGCCACATCAGCAACGGGGAAACGTACTAGTCTCTGTGAATTTATTTTCTGCTGCAAAAGCCAAGTGCTTACCACAACCACTGGAGACAGCAAAGCTGGGCAAGCACTGCAGCATTTCACCAGAGACCGTGGTACCTGTGAGATAGCAGTATACTATTAATGTCCCTTGGAGGCAGCATGGGAGGGGAGACAACACGGTACATGAAGGTTGGATGCCTTCTGGACTTCATTGATGTGTTCACTGCCATCAGAACTAACCCATAGAAGTAGTCAAAAAATACTACATAAACAATCAATCATCTTGGTCATTACAGTTGGCAGAGCACTGCTGTAATCAGCAAGGCTTAATCCCTTGTTTTATTCAATTCCTCAGTTTTCAAATTATCTTTTTTATTTTTTGTGAAAGGTGGCTAGCAGGCTGAGAGGCAAGAAGGTAAAAGGGTTGTGAGATTTGATGTTTGCTATTTTATCCATTGCAAAATAAAAATACAGTATTGCCGAAGTAGTAGGTGTGGACATTAAGAAGTTGGCACTTGGAAACAAGACAGGAGGTTGCTTCTGTAACATCTCCAGGGCTGCCAGTCCCTCACTATCCTGGCTGCCTATATGTCATTCCAGTTAAGGACATACTGGGGCTCAGTGCCTGCTTCGTGCCTGTGTTTGTCATGGTAACATGTCTGTCCTGACCTGTATCTCTGACTCTACCTATGGATGTTTCCCCAGAAGAGCAGGCTGGGGCTGCTGTGTCTGGCTCCCTGAAATGTACTGTCATCGAGGTGATAGGGGACAAAACAAAGCAACAGCCGTGTTTCCTTAGCTCTAGCAGTAAAAGTTAGAGGGAGCCAAAATTTTAGTATTTATGGCCAGCGGAAAATAGTAATTGATCAGGAAAAGTTCAGTCTGCTGTCACTCTTGATCACATAGCTCTTCTTGATCACAGAACTATCTGGGATGTTCTCCAAATGGTACTTGAACCCTGCTGAGATAACTTATTTTTTCCTATCAAAGGCTGAATGAAAATATCAAATCTGTTGTAGGAACTGTTTTTCTGGACACTTGTTCTTTCTTTCCCCAGACCATAGCAATCTGTTGCTGTAAGACTATTTCTTCACTGACTTGGCTTAATGGTTGAAATTCCTTTATAATAAACTGTTTAAGACATCAAAGCATAGGTTGGTGACAGGTTGGGCTGCTGTCCCCTCAGTGTCTGGCTCAGGGGGTTTCCCTGAGAGCCCATCTCAGGTACAGAGCTGGGTGGGAAGTGGTTGCAGCAGCACCTCCACTGCCAGAGAGCAAGGGGCAGCCAGAAAGGAGCCAGCAGGAGCTGACTCATCACCAAACATACCTGCCTGCCTCCTCCAGACATGGTACATCTGAAACAATGTCCCCTGGCTGCTGCTTCACCCCTCAGTGCAGCCTGGCAGAGGGTGGGGTGTCCATTGCTAGCACCGAGTGGTCACAGTAATACACTTCACCCCCTTTTTTCCTTGGAAGGTGGGTATAACTTGAAATAAGAGGCAGTATGAGACAAAATGGTGGTGTCATGTATTTGGCTTTGTTTTAAGCACATGCCAACAGCATTTGTAGTCTTATGAAATACACAGTAGTTTTCTATTTTCTCATTGCTGTAAACTGTACAGCACTGGAAACCAGTGCTCCGAGTAGGAGGAAAAATACAATAGTAGCTTTTAATCAGCTTTCATTTTTGCCACCTACGAAACAAGACTTCTCTAATACAGCAGTCCAGCTGTTTTAGCATTTCTAGAAGTTTTCATCCTCTGGCAGTGTTTAAGGGAATAGGCTATTCTAGTTTTCACTACCAAGAAGGCTAGTAGTTGTCGCTGTACGAGAGGCAGAAAGCAGCAGAGAGTTACCAGAGGACAATCCTTCAGATTGATAAGGAGAATAAGACAGTTTATCAAGCTACAGGAGCATCTCTTCTCATGCATCCCTCGAGCTCCATAGCAGAAACCTGTCTGCTCCAGACCAGGTGCTCATTTCCAGACATAGAGCTCTTTGTGAAGGTGAGCATTATAAAGCAATCCAACAGCAATGTTTGTTTACAGAGAACTTCTTGATATATTTGAGATTCATTTGATAGCATTGAGGAAGGTGAAAGAGCAAGCAGAACTGGTTTCATTAATGTGTGTTGTTGGTTCTAAGGTCATAAACCTTAATGAACTAACCTATTAACCAAGTAAATGATATACCTGGGTTTTTTTACTTCCATGCCCTTACATTTAATCTAAGTTTTAAAACTGCACTTTAGGAAAATCATACGAAGGGCTTAAAAATTAGCTCTCTGATCTCTTCCAACAATGTCGCATGAAGCCTAATTTAACCAATAGCAACTATGCAAGACCTCGCCTCACTTTAACAAAGCCTCTTAACAAAATGCAATACAAAGTACATGAGAGCAACACTTCTGCGACCACAGGTACAGTGAGTTGCACCTCTTGTTCTTTACACTGACACCTGATGATTTGTTTAGCCAAAAAGAAAAGACCATAGTTACAGAGGCACACAGAAGGAGAGGTTACATGATGTGGATACAGCCACATTTCAGTGTTAAAAGTGGGAGCCTTGGGTCTATAACAATGAGGGATTAGCCAGGGGGACACGGCGCTTGTGCTTCGTTAGTCTTCAGTTCTGCAAAGTGCAGAAGATGAGTGGGTCCAGCTGGAGCAAGGCTACCACCAAATTTCCCGCCTTCTCTGGGGCCCCCCACAGTTGTTTAGTTTGAAATTCTTAATGATTTGATTTATAATTATTCCCTTAAGTGCTTTAGACATTACATCTCAGTTTATTCTGGTAATTTTTTCTGTTTGTTTCCTGTGATCATAAACTGATTTAACTTGTTTTAATTTTGCAGTGACTTAGGTAGATTTATGTTCATGTAGACAAATACGGTGGAGACTTTCCTTTGGATGGACTGCTCCGATTTCAATTTTGTTCTCTAACTTGTGGCAATATTCATTATGCATTTTAATGAAAAACTGCGTCTCCAAGAGGACAGGATTCTTAATCATATCTATGTGCATATTTAGAGAAGGATATAAAGAAACTGCATGAAAATACATATTAGTAGAGATGAGTAACTTGCTATATGTATTTGTGGCAGATCAGGGTTTTCTGCTTTCCTACTGCATATGCTATCAAAATTTGCTATCATCACAGATGTATTTTTTTTTTTTTTTTTTTTTTAATTGTAGGCTGGCAGTGATGGGGAAAGTATTGGAAATTGCCCATTCTCTCAGCGTCTCTTTATGATTCTGTGGCTAAAAGGTGTCATATTTAATGTCACAACAGTGGATTTGAAAAGGTGAGATTGTAACTAGAGTTCTCCTTTTCAGAACAACTTTTCCAAAATGGTGATTTTAAAGGGTGGTTCTCTTCTGATAGATTTGAAATGCACACTGTGTCTTGGCATTGCGTTAACAGTCTGGATGCCAGATTCCTCTTTAGGGTTCATTAGTATAAAGTGGACTAACTCCTTTGAAGCAGTTGAGATTTAAATCTGTTTTGCACTATGTCTCTGCTATGTCTCTGTAACATAACACAGAAGTTTAGGGGGCATTTTTTAAGCATTTCAGAGCACATTCAGATACGGGTTAGCAAATTCTCATGCCACCAGTCAGCTGGCTAAGTTTTATTTTGTAAGAAAGATGTAGAGCAGCCTGCTATTCTAAAGGGGAAACAGTTCTTTGCAATTAAGTGTAGAAATTGCAAATGTGGTTCCTGTTGTGATTAATCCCATCTCTCTCCTCCTTTTAGAAAGCCTGCAGACCTGCAGAACCTTGCCCCAGGAACAAACCCGCCCTTCATGACATTTGATGGTGAAGTGAAAACCGATGTTAATAAGATTGAGGAGTTCTTGGAAGAAAAGCTAGCGCCGCCCCGGTACTGTACTCCTGGCCACTTCTCTTGCTTTTAGCCCCTCATGTCCCTGGACAGGGATCAGTGACCAAACTCCCTTGGTTTTGGTGGGTCAGACCCTCAATGAGCTGCACGTGTTATAATTGCATGTGGGAAGCTTGGGGGAGCTGGTGCAGCCCCTGCAGTGGAGCTTTCAGGGAGCGTGAGACAGTGCTGAAGCCTGGCACATGCAGGGGGTGTCCCTGAGATGCTGGCTGTGCTCCTCCTGCTGCCCTCACCTTTGCCCCAAGTTCACTGCTGTGCCACCACAGTTAGTCATTCCCAAGGCACAAAATCCACCCTGCTGCAGCAAGCATGTGCAGAGACCTGCATGCCACTGCAGAAACCTGACCTCTTTTCCTCCACTTGTGTTTGTTTGAGGTTTTCCTCTTTATATTAGACAAATAATTACACTTACCGGGAACAGGTAGTTGGAAGAAAAGGGCAGTGAGAGCCTCCCACATGGCAGGCGTGCTGAGGCTCATTTTGAGTGGCCAGGTGGGCCTATCTTGGCACACACTGGGGTCTGAGTTTCAGCCTTGTCCTTTCTCACCCCAGCAGTTCTTCCCATCTCACCCCAAACTCCGCTGTCCCACCATCAACAACATCTTGTCCCGCACCCATGCACGTTCTCTCCCCTGGGACAGCAGCCCCCCTCCGCAGCTTTCCTTTCTCAAGCAGCTGAACTAGGCGAGCAGCTGCTCCCCTCCATTTCTCCCTTCCTGTCTGCCCCTGGCAACAACAGCTGCTGGACCGGCTGCTCTGAGCTTGCTCATGCAGGAGCAGGCCAGGCAAGGAGGCTGGGAGGAACAGCACCTACTGCGAATAGGGATTTTCCCTTCACTCCTCACAGTAGGAGCCACGCTCCACACAGCCTCCTCTTCAGTGGAGGAAGCCTGGGAGAGGCACCGGGCTGTTTGGCCAGTATTTGCAGTGTGAACAGTCATTTTCCATCTCCCTCAGGAAAAGGAGATCATCCACATGGTTTAACTAGGGTTTAAATTTGCACCTGCTAGGTGATTTTTATTTCAGGATGCTTCCCTTTGAGAGTCTTGTGTGGCTGTATATTGTGACGCTGCAGTGTAAATAAAGTATATTAAATAATTAGGGGAGATGAAAATAAAGGCTAGTCATATAACTTTGTTTTGCTTCTTTTATCTCCTTAGGTATCCCAAACTTGCACCAAACCACCCTGAGTCTAATTCTGCAGGAAATGATGTGTTTGCAAAGTTCTCTGCATTCATAAAGAACCCAAGAAAAGATGCTAATGAAAGTATGTGCTGCAGTCCTCTTGTCAGCCCTGGTAGTTACTGTGAGAAATTAGAGCTGTATAATTCTAGCACACTGCACTGGAGATACCTCATTTACAGCTTAGATTAAACAGTCATTTTCCAGAGCATAAAGGCTGGGGAAATCCATGCCTATTCACTCTTATTTGAGGATTCCCAAAGCTAGTTTACGCAGTTACCATGTTCAGCATGGGAGCACCACCTCCATCTCCTCCTCATTTCTTCAGCTCTCAAGCTTGTAACATTGCATCTTTCCCACAGCTCTGCTAAAAGCACAGCCTGCTTGAACTGAGACCTTACCTTTCTGCTCCTTTTCTGTAAATAATGAGGACTCTAACCCCATGGCACATCTCTCTAGAGCGGAACACTCACTACCACCCTGCATTAACTCATCTCTGTCCTCCAGTTCTCAGCCTTGTTCCCTTTGCTTTTCCCTTCTCCCCTCTCCACAGGAGCCCATAGGCACCACCAGCCCATGAAAATCCCAGCCAACCCTTGCCAGCCCCTGCTGCCCTGACCCCACTCCTCTGTGCTCAGCCAAAAGCACGGGACTCAGGGACTGGTTTCCTGTACACCCCAAAGTGGCATCCCAGTGGCTTGCTGTTGTCACTCCAGCCTTGCTGTCCTGCCTGTGGGCAGGCACTTGCCCCGTGGCTCCCAAGGTGAGAATCAGCGTGAAGGCAGAGCCACTCTGCTGGACCTCTCTGCAAAAGCACACTCTGCAGAGGTGTTTGAGGCGTCACTGCTGGTAACAGTCTGGTTTTCCTCAGAACCCCCTTTAGCTACTTAGAGCTCTTATCCCAGCATTAAGTTTTAAGCTTAGGATAAAGGAATTGCAGGAGTTGGCATGGCTGGGTGTCTATGAGCTGGGTTGGTGCCAGGAGACAGGATGCAGGACTTGCCTTTCTGCTTGGTGTCAGAGAGTCCTAGGTACAGGCTTGAATGACCTTTTTATTGTCTTAACCTAGATTTGGAAAAATCTTTGCTTAAAGCCCTGAGGAAGCTGGACAACTATTTAAATAGCCCCTTGCCTGATGAAATTGATGCTTATAGCACTGAGGAGATCACTGTTTCCAGCCGGAAATTCCTGGATGGAGATGAGCTTACTTTAGCGGATTGCAACCTCCTACCAAAGCTCCATATAATCAAGGTTTGCATTTGCTTTTTAGCTTCCTGAAGAGAAGGGCAGCACAGAAGCTCAAGTCCTTTTCTAAAAGGCAGAGGAATCCTTTATCTGTTCTGAGGCCACACAGTAGTTGTGTAGGGACACTGAATGCTGATGCACAAGACCATTTCATTACAGCACAGCTAGGAAGATCCTTAAATTGATAACTCTGGAGCTAGAATATTTGGTTTCATATCTGGGCTGTGACTACACTTGCCAAGCCTCTCACAAGTATGAAATGAGTGCTATATTCAGAGCTGTAGAGAAGTGTTTTCATTTGCATTTCATATGCAGAGTGCATATGACCATGGACCAGTGAGGTTAGATTATTTTGTCCATGCCAATTCAAGAAGCCAGAAAAAGCTGAAATTCAAACCTGTCTCTCTCCCACCTTTAATCCAGAAGTCTTGTTTTGCTGAGTATCACCACTAGTACCAATAATGCTGGCAGGATAGCCACCACCCACTGCCTTCCAGTCAAGGGTCCCAGCCTCTTCTTGCAGGGCTGTGGAGCATCAATGCACACCTAACAGTCCTGGTGACCATGATGTCTGGGTGTTGTCACAGCCTGTCCCTGGGCTGTTCTGGATCCAACCAGGCTCTGGGAGAGAAATGGCCACACTGGAAGTTCATTGGTATTCAAACAAACAAGCTTCCTTTTTGACTACTATTTTGCCAGAGGAAGAGTGGATTGAATTGCTTTCTGATATTTCCACAAGTGAAAGCTTTCCCCAGAGATGTCCTGGTTGAACCTATTCCAGAGAGCAGCAAGGGAATGAGCCCTTTCCCACACCTACGCCAAGCTCAGGCACAGCGGAGCTCCAGAGGTAGCAAGGGTCAGCAGGGCCAGTACGGGGAGGATCACCTTATGTCAGCTGAGCATCTGAAGGCTGAGGGAGGATGAACGTTGTTACACCGTCCTTGATGGCCAACAGGGAGAGATTAGGTATCAGCCAATAGTTGTTTTCCTAGCAATTTGAAATTTAGTATTTTAATTCAAGTTTTTTCTTTCTGTTTCAGTGAAAGTATCCAAGTGTGGGCCAGTTTGTTACTGTAAAATTATTCTGTTAATTCTGGTTTAAGCTAGCTCCTTTGCTGTTTTAAGCTGTATCTCTTCCAGGTGCGGTCTACTGGTCCGCATAGCTCTGCATCACTTTAGCGGAATATTTATACCAAATCAATCCTTTTACTTAAGTTAGCTAGCTTTCTTCATCCCACGTCTTCTCTTTTTTTTTTTTTTTTTTTTTTTTTTTTTGTCTTTCCTTCTCTTTATCCCCCTGTGTTGCATATAACGATAGACCTGCACACTGAAAATTAAAAATGTGCATAAAGAGTAGACTTGTGGGTTTTTTTCCAGATCATGTATGTAATTATATTTTTCTTTTTTCTTTTAATAAAAGGTGGTTGCAAAAAAATATAGAAATTTTGATTTTCCACCTGAAATGACAGGGATTTCAAGATATTTGAACAATGCATATGCAAGAGATGAATTTACAAACACTTGTCCTGCTGATCAAGAAATCGAGTATGCATATTTGGATGTTGCAAAGAGAATGAAGTAAACAGAAGATGCTTCCATTCTTGATTGCTTCTGAGATTTAGATGGGCACCAGCCAAGATGGAAAAAACGAAAGCCAACATACATTCTGCAGTGTAATTTTAAGTTCTGCTTTGGGCCAATCCTTCTTTTATAATGATTGTATAGCATTATGTTCATTCTTAAATTATGTATGTATATGTTTGTGTGTCTGTACAGATGTCTGCACACATGAATGTCTGTTGTGCATTCCAAGTTAAAGACATCAGTCAATATTAAAGCATTTGTTGAAGTTAGGGAAATAGTGTAGGTCACACAATTATAGCAATATTGCAACCTAGTGACATGCTAAATTGCTGAGTTTTGAGAAGAAATAGCTGTGTTTCTAACACATTTAACCTGTCATTGTTGCTGCCTCTGATCTGTGTTTCACAGTTGTTGCCAAACTTCACAGTTAACGGGAGGGTTTCTGTTTGCTTCTCTGCAAGCCTTGGAGGGCCACAAGCCAGGAGCTGGTGCCCAGGCAGCACTCTGGTTCACCCAGGAGAGAGGCTAGCCTGTACGTGGGAACACACTTGACATCCCAGAAGCCCTCTCCTCTGTGTTAGAGACCTGCAGGGCAGGTCAATGAAGAACAACTTATTTTCACATTGTGTGAGTCTTCTTTGGCATTAAAAATAAATAAATAAATAAAATTTCCTGCCTTCTCCTATCTCAGTGCTGCATAACCCATCAAACTTCCCTCCCAACCTTCCCCAGAGAGAGGAATGTGGACTGTCACTGGCCTAGGGACTATCTGATAATAGATATTTGACAAGAGAGGAGGAAGATACTTGGTTGTCACTGTGGACAGAAGAAATGGATGAACACGTATCCCCAGCTACTGATGTAGGATTTCTTGGTCATCCTTCCATGACTCTCACTTGGTTTTGGAAAGCAAAGAGGAGGAGAGGACCTAAGAAAGAAACAGTCCATCTATACTTCCTTTTCCTGGTTGAGCTCCATCATACTGGCTTTCCCAGGGCAGCTGTTAGGACTTCAAGGGCTTTACAGCTGATCAGACAGGTATCTGTCAGGAACAATGTAGATCTACCTCCTGCAGGGGATGGATTAGATGAACTCCTCCAGCCTTGCATGGGTCTGTGTTCAAGGCAGTCAGTACTGGTGAGAAACACCCTCTAGCCTGGCATCAGGGAGCACACTATTAGAGATGTACGGACTTCAAAAAGTGATCTCAACAGCTGCTTTTTGCTGGGCAGGCCCTTAGCAAGCACGTAGGAGTAGAGGATGCAATGCTTTAGTCATAGGGCCACCTGGAAGTTTCCTTCTGATTGATTTTGCCTGTGTGTACAAAATAGATGTGAAAATGGCTAAAAATAGCCTTTGCAGCACCTGTATCCACAAAAAGACTCCTACAGACTAGTCATTCATCCTTGCCCATGTCAGAAATACGGTGGCTTTCTAACAAAGCACTACTTAACAGTAATAGTCAGTGTCAGATACATTGTGTCTGAAGTGTCATCATCTTACACGCTACACAGTTCTGATGAGAATGTGCTATCATCACAATTACTTGTAATCAGTATTAAATGTGCAGTTTTAGTTTGCCTTTAGAGAAAACAGACACAATATGTTATCAAAGTTATCAAATATATGATATATAAAAAAATGGAATCTGTATACTCTTTTCATATGCCTTACAAATTTAAAATAGAAAATATACAAATTCATAAGTAATTTGAATGGTGTTCTGTCTTTATTTCCTCAGTAATTTCTTGGTAAGCTGCATTGCAACAGTGGGCTAGATTTTAATGAATACAAGGCAAAATTTATCACAACTTTCATTTGTTTTGGAGGAATTGTGTATGTCACAGACCTGAAGTGAGATCTTAAGAACAGTGTATATACTGGCTGTGCCCGTTACTGATGAATAAAAGCCAAAAAGGGGAGGATGCAATCCTTGACCACCTAGCCACCTAGCACAAACTGTCCCACATCCATGCTGGTTTGGGGCTGACCACATTTGTAACTGTTTGGTCTTGGGGAGATCCACTTGGGATGATCCAAAACAGCCAGGGGCTGCTCATGCTGCTCTGGAGCTCTTGCAGCAATCCAAATGCATGAGACAGTTCCTGGCCCTCTCTTACCACTCACCATAAATACAGTTATGGCTGTTTATCATCAATAAATAACAGAGAGCCTGGGCTATTTGGCCCTGAGAGCATGCAGTAAGGTGTGGTTCACATCCATATGGCTCTTTTCTACCTCCTGGAAACAGAGTGGCTATGCTGGTTGTGGGGAACAGTACTTATCCAAATCATGCCCAGATGTTGATGAGAGTAATGCACTTTGGCATGGGTCAGACTATGTGTAACAGAAGTCTTGAGGGTGGTGAAGATTAATCAAAATATGCATGTGAGAGCACTAGAAGAAACAGGAGTTTAAAAAATGAATAGGTTAATTGCTACAGGGCATTGCAGAAGTAAATTCATTCAAAGAACCTTATAGCAAGAAGGCAAAGAACAAACTGAACCCTCAAGCTAAGGTAAAGAGATGAGGAAGAACAGGAGGGGTGCCATAAAACATCCTGATAAAGAAAACAACAGAACAGTGGGAAGCAGGAATTCTGGCTTGGACTTAAAGATCCTGATGGATACCTAGGGGGTATAAAAGGCACATCCAGGAAACAATTTGTTGTCACAAGCGAAGAACCCAAGAGATGTGCCAGGACCTGGCAGCTGGTGGCACTGGCCTGCCACCTCACACACAGCCTATCTAGGTGGGTGTCTGGGTGCAGATGACCATTGGAACATCAAAAGTGAGTAAAATACATGCCCTTTAGAAAAAATATCACCCTTTTATTTCATAAGGTCCCACAGTGGCTCCCTTTCCCTGGACCCACGGTAACCCAAAGACATCACCCATGTCTCTGTCCGGGGTTGGGTGCAGCTCAGGACCTGGTGTGCCAGGGCTCAGTGGCAGCCCATCACCATTCATCCTTACTGACTGAAAAGGGCAAGAGCCATATCTGCTTGAAACACCATGCTGCTTTGTGTTATGCCCATGTTTATGGTTTATAGACACCATGAAACATTTTTGCCTCCAGAACATTCATTTAACCTCCCTCACCCTGTCCTCTTTTTCTAAGGGTTCCTCAGAATCACATGCTTTCACTTCCAATACTGTCAGGTGAAAGGAAAGAAAGCCTCAGACACTCAGCAAACAGAGCTGTTTTTTTCTCTTAAAATCTGACATTGCTTGGAAGGATATTTGATTAAATGATTGTGGCCACTGATAGTTTTGAAAACCAATGTTTTGTGGTTTCCTTAGTGCTCTTACTCATGCAAAAGAAGTTCATGGCTGCAGCCCTCCACAATGATTGTTGGGCACACATGATGCTACCTAAACCAGCACATTATGGCTGGTGTTTGTATATTTCTGGAAACACAGGGAGGAGATGTGGGTAGAGAAGTCATAGAAATGACCCAGAATATCAGAAAACTGCAGTCACTTCATTTGTTCTGGGATGGTATGACTAAACTTTCCACACAATCCCACAGCAAATGAATCTTCATCTTCTACACATTTTGAGTGTCTGAGTCTGGCCCTTCTTAAAACAGAGCATTTTAAGAAAATATCTTTGTCCACATTTGACTTATTCTATTTTTAAAAGACCACTGAAAGATTTTTTTAAACAATTTAGTGGAGAACAAATTAGATGGGATAAAGGGAGAGAGAAAACAAATTGTGGTGCTAACAGTATCACCAGCTGTCTCAGTGGCCTTGACATGCAATAAGATGTAAATCTAGACACAGATTTGTAGTTCTTGATCCCATGCCAGGGCAGAGATCATGTTCCATTATTTAAAGGCATGTTTGTGGAGACAGAGCTACTGATTTCCAAATACTTATTAGCATAAGTAGTCTTCTGTGTGGTGTTGCTTGTGCAAAGAATGTTTTATTATAATTTTAAATGCAATTTTTCACATGTCCCTTTTAATCACCTATTATACACAAGGCAAATATGGTCAGACAGTTGCTTTATTAATGTCTCTTTAATCACTTGTGTAGAAAACTCATAAAGGTTTGAAGGTTTCTTTCTCAGCTTCAGTATCTTAGTCTTCAGCATGACCTGTCAACCTGAGTTAAACACTATTTGCGCTCAACACAGTATTTCCAATAGCAAGCTGAAATAAAATCAAATGCAGGGTAACTAACTGTAACGTATTTCCCCAATGCTTTTTTTCAAAAATAGCTTCACAGCAATGAAAAACTAAACCTCATGAAAGCAAGTTAGTATTCATTATCTGTACCAACATGTTTGAGTATAAGCAAATATTTAAATTTCACAAGCCCCTTAAAACTCGTTGAAGTTTAGTTTAAAAGCCCTTTATTTCTTTTTTTTTTTCTTTTTTTTTTTTTTCCACCAGGTTATTAGGAAGGTTATTTCTAGGTTTTCAATAACCAGTAATCAATTGCTAAGGTGAGGCATGCCCTTAAAAGTTACAGTCGACATAAATTATCCCCAGCATGGTAGAGCCTTGACTAGGTTAGCAAACACCCCTTTCAACCAGCCACTCCAAGTGCTGATACCACCCAGTCGCTGCCAGCCACCCAGATGCCCTCCATGGACCCTTAAAAGCTACTTAAATGTTCATAGAGGTTCTGCAGACACCCACTGTGACTTTACTGACCACTCATGGGAGCTGCTGCCCTACACTGAGTTTCCTGATGAGAGATCCTGAACATGTGACAGGGCTGGGGTAGCAGAGGTTTGCCACATGGCTCACTGCTACGTTCTCCTGTCAGCCACCTTAACTGGCATCGTACTGCTGAACAATTCTTAGTGATCTCATGTGACAAAGACCTAAATGCAGGCCCTGTTCATGAGTGATGGGGTAAAACAAGCTGGTTGTTAATGCATGGCTTAGACCAGCATTCAGTTTTACTTCACTAGCAAACTGCAAAGAAGTGAAGGAACAAGGTTTTTCCATGTCCTGGTCTAAATTGGACTCCTGCTGATTAAGATGTTTTTATTGATGGGCAGAATGCAAACTGAAAAATCTCTTCTGGAAATGAACTAAGGGAAACAAGAGTCCTATATCAAAATTTTAAAACTGTTCAACTTTTTTATTAAATCAAACCAATTAAATGAAATAAAAATAAATATTCATTTTCAAAGACTGAGGGCACTTGTTTTTCTTGGGTTTCTTCCTTCTATCATTCCCTTCCCTTTTATTTTACTTTTTCAGTCATGAAAGGGGAAAAATGAGAGGTAGAGGTGTTGGAGAAGAAAAAATATGAATACCAAACCTTGGTTTTCAGCTCAAGATTAAAATATAAAACAAGACCCATACTAAACTTGTATCTTCTTTTGTTGGAAAATATTTGTAAAGTTGCTTTCATCCAACTTTTTGTTCTTCATTTTGAAAACATTCACTGCTCTCAGGTGATCTGCGGTGAAGATAAGAGGTTTCTAGAGGTGAAAACTCTGCTGCTCCTTTGCCTGTAGGAATAATCACGGAACAGATCTTCCTGCTCACTCCATTGTAGGACACAGAAATGGTAAATTGCTCCAAGTAATGAAGCCATACCCATGTGAGAGGCTACAAGGACTTGGAGCTCACACAGGTTGCAAGAAGGATGCCGCATATCAAATCCTCCTGACAAAACATACAGGCTCTGTGTGCCTCATACGTAACTGTACTGTAGCTGGTGGAGTGTTACAAGACCCTCTGTGCCTATGGATGTCTGAGCTAAGAGGCTGCAAGGTGATGTATCTGTAAAGTAAGGGTATTTGTTATAATACCTTGCGATGTGGATGGGAAGTCCTACCATTGCATCAGTATGGGTCCTCCTGAAGGGTGCTCCTCTGCTGGTATTAGCTAAATCTCCTCTGACAGAGCTCACATCACTGTGGATGTAATTTGAGCTAAACTGAAGTCCTCTCCTCACCTCCTCCCTCCCTCCCTCTCTCTCCCATCTCATTCTTGATAAAGGTTGTGCCTTGGGAAACATGGTAGCAAAGGCACACCCAGATAACCACATCAATGAACTGATAAAACAGCAGCCTGCTGAACCACAGCTGCTGCAGAGGTGAGAGCAGCTGTAACAACTAACCATGTTCCTGTATCCTCATGAAGACAATTAGTCACCTTGGCTCTGCAGAGATATGAGACAGCACTCAGATCTGGTTCAGCTGTCCAAAGTGCCTAAATTAC